AAATAAACAAATAATGGATATTTTTGCATCCTCTTCAGTATCCTCACATATCCTGCTTTAAATCTGAAAATACAAAACCACCTTATGCAGAATATATTAACTGTTTCAATGATGAAGCTTATGTTTTTGTTGCATTTTTAGAAATGTTGTGAAGCCACCCTGAGCTCCACATTGCGGGAGAGGGTGGTGGGATGTAAATCTCAAAATAAATGTCACCGTTCTGTGCGGCTAGATCACCCTCAAGGGTAAGGTAGACCAACCCTGGCTCTGCCACAGTTTGTCTTCAAGCCTTGACACTGAGCCTGATCCATTTACCTTGTCTCTAAGCTGGACTGACAGCTATTTTCTTTACACCCTCATCTTTTCCTCTATGGTTTTCTTCACCAAGCCAGGCCTCTCCCACGCTTCCTGTTGATCTCCTTGATTAGACAGATCTGGAATTCAGTCTCTCTCTCTGCTCTTTGGGGCAGAGAAAGGACTGGGGAGATGGTCCGGATAAAAGTCCAATAAAGAAATAAATAAACAAATAATGGATATTTTTGCATCCTCTTCAGTATCCTCACATATCCTGCTTTAAATCTGAAAATACAAAACCACCTTATGCAGAATATATTAACTGTTTCAATGATGAAGCTTATGTTTTTGTTGCATTTTTAGAAATGTTGTGAAGCCACCCTGAGCTCCACATTGCGGGAGAGGGTGGTGGGATGTAAATCTCAAAATAAATGTCACCGTTCTGTGCGGCTAGATCACCCTCAAGGGTAAGGTAGACCAACCCTGGCTCTGCCACAGTTTGTCTTCAAGCCTTGACACTGAGCCTGATCCATTTACCTTGTCTCTAAGCTGGACTGACAGCTATTTTCTTTACACCCTCATCTTTTCCTCCATGGTTTTCTTCACCAAGCCAGTCCTCTCGCACGCTTCCTGTTGATCTTCTTGATTAGGCAGATCTGGAATTCAGTCTCTCTCTGCTCTTTCGGGCAGAGAAAGGACTGGGGAGATGGTCCAGTTGGTTGGTGCTATTCTCTTTTCAAATAGTGTTGGTGTAGCTTGATTAATTTTCACTGTGTTTAGGATTCCCAAAGTGTTTTTGCTTGGAAGTAAATCCCATATGGATCGATGAGCAATATTTCTGGCTATATGTAGTTAAGATAATTTGGTAAACATGTGCATGGTGGGGGAGGGGCTAATGTGGGGGTCTTGCAGTGTGAAATTGAGGCAGTTCTATAGTTTTTCAGTACTGTGTAGTATGGAACTGTCTAGTTTTTATTTCATAACTTTGATGTAGAATTTATAAGGGATGAGAGATTCAAGACAGAATGCCTCTCTCTTATTTTTATTTATTATTTTAAAATATTGATGTGCCTGCCTTTCTCCTAAGCATCTTATGACCCAAGCAACAATATAAAAACATGGAAACATGCATGCAGGGGTGGTCCTCCAAGTATATCAGTGCCAGGCCACGGAGGACTTTAAAAGTGAGCACCAATACCTTGACTTGGACCTGGAAACTTAATTAGCAGCCAGTGAAGGGGCCTCAAAATAGGAGTGACATGGTCCCACCATCTAGTCCCAGTTAACAAACAGGATGCTGTCTTTTGTACTATCTGCAATTTCAAGATAGTCTTCAAGAGCAGCCTACATATAGCATGTTACAGGTTGCTGAAGTATGTCTGGTCACTGATGAGGTATCTGCTTCCTAACTAGATGTAGCTGGAGGTAAATGCATTTTTTCTCTGTCATGGACACCTGTTTCTCTAATAGGTGACCAGGATCCAGCAAGACTCCCAAGCTCTTAACAAAAGAATATCACAGACTTTTTTTTATCATTGACAGGCAAAAATCCTACAGCTAGTTTCTCTCTTTAAACTCAATTTATATATTTTGCATTTGTGTTTTTCTATAAGAACTGGACCATGATGCTCTTTCTTTTTCAGTGACAGAGCAGAGTAATTATGCTTGTGTTCACGTTTTGAACATTTTGAAGTTACTTCACAGAGAACTGTCAGCATTGCAGAAGTCAATTATTTTTACATGTTGCCACTTTATATGCTCTAAATAAAATATTAATCTGTGAAAAGCCTGAACTGTAAAATAAATTCGAGTGATGCTGTCCACTAACTTAAAAAAAATCAAATAAATGTTTGTACTTTAGCCTTTTTATTTAAGGTGACTTTCATAGTCCAGTCAGAAGTGTCTCTTCAAAGAAAATGGTTCAAATGCTATAAAATTTAGTCTGATATTCCAGCTAAAGTGTTGTGACCAGATGCCAGTGAGTAGCTAAATGTCAAGTTAATTTATGTATTAAAGTTGAGGAGACATGGTGAGAGACACTTGCTGCCACCTCTCAAAAATAAGCTTTGCCTTGTGTCCCAAAATAGCCAGATGATGATAACTTGCCAATGTAAATGAGAGCAGAATTTGGAAGATGCAGATGTTTGCTTGCTGTCTTCCCCCATGCTCAAAAAAACAGGACAGAACAGGAGGAGAATATGTGGAGGGGTTGTTGCTAGCTGGCTAGCTATCAATCACATTTTTATCCTGTCTTACCTCCTTGGAACTGAGGACAGTGTAGATGGATCTCTTCTGTTCTATCCTCATAATAATCTTGTGAGTTAGTTTAGTCTGAGAGATAATGCATGGTCTAATATCACTAGTGAGCTTCATGATTTGATCCCCAGTCTCCATAGGCATAGTCAGATACCTCTTTAACACACCAGCACTGCAGGTTCTGTAGCTGTAAGCGGTGGCATATGGTCCAAATATGCTTCAGACATGCTCACTGTCTCAAAAAATTGAGCATACATCAAAACTGAATCAAGAAAATTTTTTATCAACCAAACCAACCACCAGTGCTTACTACTTTCCCCCATGCCCCTGGAAGTCTGCAACCTGTCTCTTATGTCTCTTATTTAAAATATTAATCTAATCAGTTTATATATAGGATAATCACAGGGTGCATATAATCACAGGGTGCATTCACCAAATGACTAATTTTTAAAGCTGTCACATCCATTTTTCCTCATGATTCGTATGTGATCTGTACAAATTTCATTTTGTGAAAATAAGCCCAAAATATTCTTTGGGCTCCACCATCAAGATTGGCTGGCCATGTATCCAGATGCATAGCAGCTAAATTTCATCTGTATAATTTGTCAGTGCTTCAGAAATTAGAACTATTATTTGATTAAATCCAAACATGCTATGACAAACCCCTGTATCTTCCCAACTGTCTGGCAGATTTTTCCCCACCAAATCTTCAGTTCCCTTCAGTGACTGAGTTGTCCTACAGTACCATGTATATATTCTTTGTCATTAAAAAATCTGAATATCCCACTCTATGTTTAGATATTGAATTTAGGCTTTTTCTCAGCTCAGAAACTCTACTGAAAATACAGGAGCTGTCCATTTAAACCCTTGAGAAATGGCACTTGAGGCAAATTATTTTTCAAAAACAGAATAAAGATTTTATTAAACAGGCAGGCGATATATGTATAAATGTAATAGTCAAGGTTTTGAGATTGCTGTTGGGAAAAAAAACTTTCTAATATATACAGAGTTGAATTCTTAGAACATTCAAGAGCATATTTGTAGTTTTGTTTCAGGGTGTTCTAATTCTTTCTTTGACAGGTACTTTGTTTAGTATATTTCAGCACTAACACAGTTCTCATTGATGTTTCTAGATTTCTTCCTTCAGAGTTCTAAGTTTTTCTTTAGATATTACAGCTTTTCATTAATTCCTGAGGTGTCTTAGTTTCTCCCCTTTATCACAGACCAGGTTTCTCTTCCCAGCCCCTTTCACTGGCAGGAAGTTTTTCTCCTTGTCCCTAAGAAGCAATAACTCCTTTTACGATTTGGCTTGAATGGGAGTTCACTCTAACTACCCAGACCTTCTGCCAAATCCTTCTCCAGTATCCTTTGTGTATGTAAGGCTTTTCTGTAGCTTTCCTGAGAATCTAAAATTCTCCCTCAGAGCAATTTTAATATATCTAATACAATGGGGTTTCTCTTCTTCTCCCTATAGAAGAACTATTTTGACTATTGCCTGTCAGAAAACACTGACTCCCAAATGTCTCTTCCCTCAGAAACCAAAACCCCTGCCTACTGATCCAGATGTTAGTTTTCAGACAATCAAAAGGCAAAAGACCAAATGGCAAAAGACCAAAAGGTAAAAGAAGTATTTTCCCTCCAGATCAGCTGTTTTATTTTCTCTCTCAGCTGATGCTGGCCAATCAGAGAGCAAGTAGAACAGCCAACCACATAAGCTCTTCTCTCCAGGGAAGGTTAACTCATGAACTCCCTGGCTCTCTGATACAAGCAGCATTTTAAAAAGCCTGCTTTCCTTTGCAGTCCATCACACATGCCCTTCCATGACAGGAGGGCACTTTTGGATCCCATCCATTGTTTTCAAATTTCATAGTTTTCATAATGTGACACTGTTGAGTATAGTACATTTTAAATAATTTTTTAATCAATTCTGCTAGATTTGAGTTTAGTAGCACCTTAGAAACCGGCAAGCTTTTCAGGGTGGAAGCTTTGACTTTTGAAAGCTCATACGCTAAAAATCTTATTGGTCTCTAAGGTGCTACTGGACCTGAATCTAGCAGAATTGATAAAGGAATTCTACCTGTTCTACTGAAGACAAACATGGCTATGCTTTGAAACTGTATTGATTTTGGTTGAGCTTTAGTACTAATTCCAGATGAATAGCCATGTTTGTCTGTAGCAACAGAATAAATCAGGAGTCCAGTGATATCTTACAGACTAACAAAGTTTATTCTAGTGTACATTTGAACTGTCCTTCATTCATACAGTATGCAAGCAAGTTGACCCCTTCATTTGATGCTGATGGATCAGTCTCTTAATGCAGTGAGTGGTGTAGGCTTGATCAGCAGCAGGTGTGTTCAGATTTCATCCTAATAAACATGCATTTCTACTGCTTGAATTTTATCAAAGATGTAATTGTAAGTGTCTTGACATATCACTGTATTTTTCCCCAGCTTGCTATGAAGCACAAGTGTTGAAGATGCCTAATACAGATATCATCCATAGAGGAACTAAAAAGTTAGGTTCATCACTTTTTATTGGAGATACAACCTCATTTCTGCTTTTTCCTACAGCCAATGAAGCCCAGGTATTTCAGTTGCAGGTGGGAAATACGTTGCATTCCTACATTTTCTGTTGCTGAGCAATTCTGCAATATTGTCAAACTTTTTATTTTATTTAAAATAAGAGTTATTGTTAACATAGCAATTGGACCGACATAGAGAACTGTGTTAATGTGCAGCATCCCACTGTTCTTAGTATTATGCAGGAAGGAATAAAATTAGCTACAAGAGAAATTAACAAATTAAAATAAAATCTAAGCACTTGTTACATAATTGTCTCGTAGCATAATTTTTGGAGTTATGTGGCTCTTGCCTTCAGATGTTGAGCAAAGCAAAATGGGTTGCCATTAAAGAGTCTGACTTCTTGTTTCTTCCATTTTTAGTAAGCATATTTTGCATGTGCCATCCAAAGTACAAATCTGAATCTGAGATATCAACAGAACACTTGGGAAACTATTTCTTTTTTGCTGTCTGGATTTTTATTTATTTTTGGACAACACGGTATCGCCAGGAATGCTCACAAGATGTTCAGACCTAAGACTGATGGTTAAATCTCTTAAATGCCTTTATGTTAATCTGGAATTTAGCAGTTGAGTGTAAAATTAATAAATAAAAGTTGCTTGATGGCTGTCAGATAAAACAGCTATTTTATTTATGAAGGGCAGTATTTTTAAAAACCCAAACTTGTAAATATTCTACAGGAATCATCCCATCATTTTAATGCATCCACAAAGGGAACAACACTTGCTGCAGTTGCATCTACTGTTGGGTATGCTTTGATCTAACTCAAATCAGGTTGGGAGTGACAGTGAGAGATCTGTGAATTAATTCCCCACTGTTTAAACTGCAAATTCCACCCTGGTTCTGATCAGAACCCTTTCTCCCAGCACCATTTTCATAATTTCACTCTCCTTTCTCCAGGGTCTGCTGTGTATCTGTGGGAAGGGTGCAGGAAAAGGGTTAAAGCATTACCTCACCTCCATGGCACTGTCTAGAATCACAGCAGGAAGTCTGTTCACTGGATCACCTGCTATCACATCTAGTTATAACTTTCAGCAAAGCTGGTAAATGCAGTTATGTTTCCCCATTACAGAATTGGCCATTGTTGACTGACTGGAAGACAAAGGCCTATTTTCTCGGTAGAGGTAGTGAGAATACAGTCATCAAATGTTCCAGTGATAACAGCATGGGAGTTGTGCATTATAATGCAATCTGCTGTATCTGAGGACTATGTGCCAATGATGCAACCATGTGCATGGGGCAAATCTCATCAATTTTATTCCATTAGTTTCCCACTTAGAGAGAATGTAGAAAATCTCACATGATCTGCCCTATACATGTAGGCACATCACTTATATACATTCCTTAGTCATATAGGATATTACAGAAAAGTTGCTCCTATTAAACTGCATGTGAAAAAACAGTAGATTAATTTTCAACAAATATTAATGACATTATGTATTTACAGAATATACGGAAATGGTACATGAACTGGCTCACAGGCAGACTGCTATATTCCAGGTTTTCATATTTTTTTCCATTGCCTGTATTATTGAGTATTTTTTGACGCCATTATTTTTTACAGACTTTTTTATGCTGTCTTTGCATTTCATTTCAGTGATTCATTTAGCCTGTCGATATGGAACTTGTTTTCATACCATGTTGCCAAACAACTTGATGGGAGTTCATCCATTTGGTGCAGCCCTCCTGCCCACCCCCCCCAAAAAAGGATTTTAATTTGTAGCTCATACCTTCTAGTCAGTAATCCAGTCACTTGGTGCTTTCTTAGGATAATTAGAAGGAAGTGTGCTGACATTCCATATTAAAATTAAAGTTTATATTGCTAAACATTACCTCTTGGAACATAGTTGTAGCATACAATTCTAGTGTTAGATATTTGTGTACATTAAGTATACAGTAATTCAGGTTAACGTTTCATATTCAAGAATGTATTTGTAAAATGTAACAAGGTCAATAACCTTTTTAAAGTTCTGCAGAGACTAAAAATCATGTGTTGCTAAACTTAAGACATTCTACAGGAGCCTATTATGTGGCTAGCAAAAAGTTATGAATTAATGTGAAAATATTAACAGATCTTACTCTAAACAAGTGATCTTAAAAAGTTTGTTTGGCTTTATTATGCCAAAATTGTAATACTTGCTCATACAATGTTGTTTACTTTTCAACCGTCTAAAGGGTGTAAAAAATTTTTGTGCCATTCTGAAATAAATGGGACTGCCTGTTGATTCATCTTTGCAAATTCGGTTTTCACTCATTAAATGTTTTAACAATGACCAAACATATTACTTCTACCTTATTTGATAGGAGGTGTAATAGTGTATAAATGCAAATTACAACTCATTGGGATAGCGGGGGGGAATTCTTGATCCACTTCCCTTTTTCTGAATCCTTCTGGAAAATTTGAGCTTGGTGAACTAATTTGGGAAGCAGAGAGTTCAGTGCCCCAATGAGCACCTGTTCATACAACTCTCTTAATGTATGATTGTGGCCACTGGAACGGCTACCTGGGTTGTCTTCCAGCAGCTTTACAGTGAAACATTCGTGTTCATCATGTGTGCAGCTGATTTGGCTTTTAGCTCGCCATAGAGGCAACATTGGCAAACTATTTCTTGTGGTTACTCCTTAACTGATTGTGTGAATAGACACTGACAAACATGGCTGGGTTATGTACATATGCATATAAACCCCCCACAGGATCTCTCAGGATCAGTTCACAAATGACCTCTAACACACATGACCTATACCTAGTGAAGTATAGAAGTTACCCCTATATTTCTCATGTCCATGCATGCATACACACCATTTATAAAGAAGAATGTGATGCATCTTCCCATCCGTGTGCCCTGGACATGAAATGTGACCCTCATTGAGGGGAATGGACAGCTCATATGACTGGAGTCTATATATATCTAAATGTTGCATCATACATTATATATGGATGAGTGTGCCTCCATGTACATAGATCATGCATACAGGGGTGACATGTGAACTTAAATTCATGCATATGTACATATTCATGGGTTGCACTTTCTCTCTTCCCACTGTTTCTTCCCAAAACCTCCACATTGTGGGACCTCATTGCTGGCAGAAGTGCCTAATAAAGTATTTACATATTAGCGATCCTTAAGGGGGGAGCTTTTCAGTATGATGTTTTCATATTTCATGCTTGTTCTACATAGGCCTTAAGTAAAAGATTTCTAGAATGCTAGGCACAAGCTTTAATCTGTGTTCCAAGCAAATTAAATTGCTGATGAAAAAATGTGATTATATTCTGAAGCCTGAAATATGTGCAAAGTCCCATATTCTGAAGCCTGAAATATGTGCAAAGCTGGAAGAAGCTGATTGGTGATGGTATTTAGACATCTATTCAGGGGATCAGATTGTCTCCTTTTGCATTCCATCATTCTGGATTATTCTGGTTTTTGTGTTTCATCTGTACTGTAAATATTCATGTCACTAAGTTATGCTGTTATGACACACTGTCAAATCAATCCATTCTCTTGAGGAATAATGGCACTGGAACTGCAAGTGGTCACAGTGCTCAACTACATTGCTGAATGTTGCATCTACAAGCTGCAGTTTGTCCCTTTCAAAGATGACTACCCAGGTCCAGAAATTTCTGGATTCTTGGACTGTGAGGCTAGCCATGTATAAATTATTATCTGGTAAAACTAGAATTTATTGTATGTAATACTTTATCTTGTTGTATGTGGTGATTCCTATAAAAATGTACAATTGCAATTTTGTTTTCATAATAAAGATTTTAATAATTACATGAATGCTGGTTTTTACCTGTCATGCTCTGGGGTGACTTATTCATGGGATGTCATGAAAACTGACTGTTGCTACCATGTTGATGTTCATTCATCAAAATACAATGTTGAGTATTAAAATGAAATTGGTAATCATTTATCTTGCTAGGACTGTACATGTCAGATTATTACTGATATGTCCATTTGTTGTAATGGGGTATAATTCACAAGATTTATTAAAGCGGAGCAACTTTAGTACTGGTCATCCTGAGAAACACTCTGGATTTTTCAGGGGGAGCCACGCAAACCTAGGTCATGTACACAGATCCATGGTTCAGTAGTAGTAGAGCACATGTTCTGCATGCAAAGTTCCCTGGTTTAGTCCTTGGCATTTCCACGTAAATGATCCCAGTAGATATTTCCTTTCTCTGCTTGAGACTCAGAAGAACCATTCCAGTCAAACAGACAACTCTGTGCTAAATGGAGCAATGGTCTGACGGCAGTATAAGACATCTTCATGTGTTCATGCAATCTCAACTCAGGTTTGAATCCCCATTCTTCCACATAAGCCTGCTGGGTAACCTTGGGCCAGTCATTCTCTTTTAGCCTTACTTACCTCCAAGGGGGGGTGGCTGTGAGGATAAAAATGAAAAAAGAATAATGTGTAAGCCACTTTGGGTCCCCATTGGGGAGAAAAGCAGGGTATAAATATTTACTTAGATATTTACAAACACTCAAATTCTTGCCTTTAAGCCTGCCTTGCCTCTCAAACCCCGCAAGCTGGAAAAATTAGTTTCACATCAACCTCTGTACCAGTGGGTGTGAACTCACCAAAGTGGCTGAGGGGAGCTCACTGATTACCAGAGAGCCAGTTTGGTGTAGTGGTTAAGTGCACGGACTCTAATCTGGGAGAGCCGGGTTTGATTCCCCCCTCCTCCACTTGCACCTGGCTGGATGACCTTGGGCAAGCCGTAGTTCTGATAAGAGCTGTTCTTGAAAAAGAGCAGTTTCTGTCAGAGCTCTCTCAGCCCCACCTTCCTCACATGGGGTCTGTTGTGGGGAGGGAAGGGAAAGGAGTTTGTAAGCCGCTCTGAGACTCCTTTAGGTAGTGAAGGGCGGGGTATAAATCCAATTTCCTTCTCCTCCTCCCCCCCCAATTAATGTTCATTCTTCAAGACCAGGTCCTGCCATAGCTAAAAGAAGGATTCTAATAATTGGCAGCATCGTGGCTCTTTACATTTATTATTACTATTATGAAACAATCTTAATGTGTTTCAGTGCCGTTCTCTTCCCTTCTGATTCTTCTCTTGAAAGAACTACCTACAACAAGCTGTCATCAGTTAGCCCCTCTATTCACAGGTAATCCTTACTTTTGCAGAGTTGTTGTGGCAACCTGCCAGAAGAGAGTCTATGCTAAAAGAAATCCCATACAGTTCATTTTCAAGAGTTGGTTTTAATGGCCGTTATCAGAGTATCTAATACTCAGGAAGAAGTAATGAAATAGCTAGTGTTGCTTGTTAGACTGAAATACATGCCTCTGTGTAACAGTCTGGCAACAAAAAAGCTCTATTTTTAGCATTGCTGTAAGCAGTCCATAGTAGAAACTCAACAGGCATATGGAGAACAACTATTCAATATCTATGTGTTTTTGTAGCCTCTAGAAATATAGCCAGTCTTTTAATTTTATTTTTTCCTGAGTCCATTCACAAGTCTAGTTTCTTTGTGGCTGCACTTGCTAATTTAAGCACCCATTGATTGCTGACCAAATGGCAGGATGGAAACTGCCCAATAAAACTGAGATCTGGAACTAATTTTAATACTCTTTTACCTCATAAATACCTAACAAGTGTAGATTCATGCTACTTTTTTAATTGATTATTGACTTGTCGAAAGAAAACCATTTGGGGGTCTTAAAGGATCACACTTGAATACGGATATTTCCTTATGCACAGTTCTGTTTTGTTACCTTGTATAGGAGAGAGATTTTGAGTGCTCAACTTGCAATGTGATCTTAGCTATAAACTGAAAACAAGAGTCTCTTACCACCAGACCATTTGTCATGTAGATGAGTAACACTGTTGAGAATATACATTTTTAAAAGGGTTGGCAAGATTAGTATACTGAGACACAGGTCTCGTTCTCATTGAGGCCTATGGGGTTGCATCCCATGAGAGATTTCCACCGGTGGGATTTGCCAATTTCCTCCTGTTGCCAGCCTCTGGCCCTCTCATGCTGTTTCTGGGGAGATCCCCTGTACCACAGGAGCAGCATTTCAGAGTGCATTTTTGTCTTCAGTGGGAAGGGGGAAGCGAAAAAGTAACATTCCAAGGGTAGAAATCATTCTGTCTGTGGAAAATTCCAGTGGATCTAAGCTTAAGTCTGGGCAGTACCAGTATGAACTGCAAGTGGAGGCTCAGATCCATACTCAATCCCCCATATTTGCTTTACCATAGATACCTGGCAGAAGGGTTCAAGCCTAGCCTTCTCATTGACACACCAGTTTTCTGTGTGTAGCGAATATCTCTTTGTGGTGGAGTATTCAGTTAAAGGGTTGCAAAGAGTCGGACTCAACTGTGCAACTGAACAACAACAAATTCAGTTAAAAGACTCTACCTGTAGGTACAGTGGTGCAGCCCAGTCACGTATATGAGAGTTACTAGGTACTGCAGATCAGCCATCAGAGAAGCCAAAGCTCGGTATGAGTTGGGTCTGGCCAGGGGGGCTCACTACAATAAGAAAAACTTCTACATATATGTGAGAAGCAAACGCAAGGTAAAAGAGGCAATCGGACCACTTTTGGGAGTAGAATGAGAAGTTCTGGTGAGGGACAGAGAAAAAGCAGACAGGCTTAATGACTTTTTTGCCTCTGTTTTCTCCCTGAAGAACTCCAGCCCATCTAGAGATGGTATAGGACATAACAGGACACCTGAGTGTCCAATTGACATTAACAGGGAGATTGTGGAGAGGTA